CCTTCTATCTCACTCTTCTGGGGAAAGGGGTGCGGGGTGCGCGGGGATTTAGCTCAGTGGCACCGCACCTGCCTTGCAAGCACAAGCTCCTGAGTTCAATCCCTGGTAAAAGAAAAAGAAAGAGGCCTGCTCACTCTACTGGGTAATTTTCCTCCACACCACAAAGAAGATCCTGTTGCTGGGCCCCAGTGTTGTCCTGCAGAGGCGCAGTCCAGGTGGGGAGCCTATGGCCAGGAGGTCTGTTCACCTCCTGGGGGCTGGGATGCAAAGAGAGACAGGAAGTGCTGGGGTCTTAATATTCACCAGGGCCACAGCCAGTGACCTCACTTCCTTCACCAATCTCTGCCTCCTAATGGACCCACCACCTAATAGCATTGGGGGATGGGCACCAAGCCCTCAAGCCCTAAGCCTTTCAGGGACATTTGAGATCCAAACCACAGCAAAAATTTTTTTAAAGTAAGAGGTTCAGGTTTAAATATATGTGACATTCAGGATCCCCTTTCCTAATATGCTCTACTGTGTGCAAGGCATGGAGACAATCATCCCAAGAACGCTGAGCATCACAGAAATTTGTGAAACCATTTCTCTAGATTCTTATGAAGCCACTGACAAACTACTCTTTTAAAGCTGTCAGCATTTTTAAGAAAGAAAAGCAAAAGCCCACATCATTTACATCATAGGACACCCAGATCAGCAAAACTAAGGTTTTGCTAGTTTTTAAACTTATTACTATTTTAATCAAATGTTAACATTATAGGGAAAACCTAACCAAATGACTCAGGTAACACGAGACAATTTTTCTCTACTTTAGATTATTTGTAAACTACATTTCCCCTAAATTTATTATTTCGAATATGAAAAGCAACTCTATGAAATATTCACTCGTCAAGATTCTTTATTTTACTCATCAAAATTCTTAATGATTAAATTGCTCTTTAAAATAAAGAAGGCATATCTTAAAAGTATGATTAATATCATACTTAAAGGCCTGACAGCAGGCCTTTAAAACAAGAAGGACTACAGGGCAGGACTGTGACAATCTGTGCAAGGGCCAGTGGCCTGAACAAGTGACATGGTGCTGGACAGGGCTTTCCCCAGCAGACGGCGGCTGGCACGTGGTCGCTCAGTAGGTGACAGGCGCCCTGGGAGCCTGGGCAGTGGCTCTTTGCTTCTGCTTCCTGTTATGTGGAGCTTTCTTCTGAGGGTGGTGTCTAGGCCAGGTACAGAGTGGACTGTGCTTGGGGTGACTCAGGAAGACTTCCAAGCACCCAGGGGTCTGACCCATGGTCTAGAAATGAAGGAAATGACCAAAATATCTGGTGCATGTGTTCATCTTGATGACTTACAGGAAGATTAAAACCAAAAAATTGTTTCCAATCACATCAAAATCGATTGATACTTTTTTTTTACCCAATGCTGAAAACAGATATCTGAGAAACAACTGTGTTTCCTGCAAATGGGTATTTGAGAAACAACTATGTTTCCAGTGGGAAGGATTCTGAAATCAACTCTTCCAGCACGACTGTGGCACAATCAAGACGGAAGTTCTCCCTGTGTGCCGCAGCCTGGGCCAGAACTGTTCCCACAGCCATATGTTGAGGGTGCCCAGCCCGTGGCTACTGGGAGGCGTGGGACCTTTCAGAGGGGTGGGCAGTGGGAGGACACTAGGTCACTGGGGTGCATCCCTGGAGGGGTGTCTGGATGTGGGCCTTCCTCTTCCCCTTCCACTCCCCAGCCATAGACAATGGCTTTCTCTGCCTCCTGTCCCCACCATGATGTGCTGTGTCAGAAGAACACAAGCCCAGAAGAACAGGGCTGAGCGACCAGGGACTAGAATCCCTACAACTGTCTACCAAGAAAAACCTTCCCTCTCTATAAGTTGATTTATCGGAGGCATTTCTTAGAGTAACAGGAAGCTGACGAACTCACCACCCAGAACCTAATATAGCACTTACACTTTCTGTAGCCAGACTGCTTTGGAAATGTACTTTGGGACTCACCCACACAGCTATCAACTCCTTGCCTTGAATTGCTGAACAATTGATCATAATATATAGATCCGATTCAGGCGAGTAAAAGATATTTTGATGGCACCAAAACAGGTAGGAGGGAAACTCTTAAATACAAGCAAATATCATGCCAGATGCCTACTCATATGGGAAGAGTGTAACACTTTCTACGGGGTAGGGAGTAGCTGGTGGAAAAGTGAAAACTTCAGTGACTTAGGTTGATTAATGATAAAGAGTCAGAAATTTCAGTTGAAAGGACTTAGTGATCACTGATTTCAGCAATTTTCCAATAATATTCCTGAGGGCCCTATGGGCTCTCTGAAGATGATTTTAGAGTCCTCCTTCAAACACATCCAATGTACTGAACAGAGACCAAAGTGCAGAAGTAAAAGTCACGCAGACCAGAGTGAGCTTACTGTGGGGTGTTCTCTTCCTTGAGCACAGTGCAGAGAGCTGGGTGCTGATTCTGATGTAACACGGGGTGCCTCAGTGGTAGCTCAGAAAGGCCTTCCATGTATGGCAACCTCATACCACGCACACCAGAACCACCTAGGAGGCTTTATATTTAGATGGTTTCTTCATCAGAGAAACAGGCTAAACCAACCCAAACCCAGCTACTGAGCTTCCCTTCTTGTGTACAGAGCACCTGATACGTTCCTTCCTGCACAGCAAGCACAGTGACTCTTAGAGGGGATTTCCTTGGTCATGTTTGCCACCCCTTAAAGACTGAGCTGCATGCAACTCTGCTCTTATGACACTTAATTCCTATTGTCTCTTGCTTTTGAAAGAACTAACTGAACATTCTATCAAAGTTGCCCTCTCCAAATAGAATACATTAATTGTTACATGAAGTTTAAAGATAACCTTATTATCAAATTCATGATAGCTTTCTTTGACTTTTCTTGGAGGAGAAAATTCTATCATTCACAGTGCACGGACTGGTCTTTTTTGGGACACTAGGGATGGAACCCGGGGCTGCATACATCCTAAACACATGCTCTACCACTAAGCTGCACCCCCAGCTTCTTAGGAACATTGCTTCCCTGGTGCCGGGGACAGAACCCAAGCTCTCGGGTAAGCTAAGTACATGTGGTACCATGAATACACCCCAGCCTGTAGGCTGGACTTTAAATAATATTTGCCTATAAACAGTAAGCCACAGGGGGTATATTTTAATGTGAATGTGTGGGCTCTACTTGTGAGCAACAGGAAATATATTTTACATCCATGTGTGCGGAGCCTGTAAATACTAGGAATTAGAGTTCCCATGGATGTGTGAAGTGACAAATTTCCAACAGACAAAGCATAAACAGCATTAAAAGCAGAATTGGCATGCTCGCTGAGGCTGTCTTGGTGATAATGACCTCAAAGTCAATGATTTCTCCATAAATATGAAATAAGCATATTGCATTGGGGTTGCATCATCTAAAATATAGCCCTTGACTTGAAAACTTGTCCTTAGGTTTTATGAGGTTTGAAATAAGAAGGAAACTAATGGAATTAAACCAGCAAATTATTTTGCAATCAGTGGCTGCAGTTTCCACAGCCACAGAGCAGATGTGGCCAGTCGTTGAGGAAAGTTGGACCAAATTCCCACCCTGTCCAGTACTGCTCACTGACAGCTCGACTCATAATACATTCTTACCTTTAGAACTGACCCATATTAACAACTCTGATTTTGTAAGCTAATTTAAAAGAGTAGTGGATTGACTCTTAGTGACTCATAAATATCTTGATGGTTTTCATTGTGAAAGCCAAACATCTGCAAGACTAAACAAAAATGAAATTTTTTCAAATTCACCAGAGTCCATACAGATGAAGACTACCCTAAAGGTCATTCTCTTACCAGATCAGTCTCTCGAAATATGAAAGTAAAAGAAAGAAAAAAAATCAGAGCCGGGGTGCAACTCAGCGGTTGCCCAGCACATACAAGGCCCTGAATTTCATCCCCAGCACTGCAGGGGAAAAAAAAAAAAAAAAGCAGAAAATGGACATCAAATGAAATGAGACTTCTGATTTAATTTGATCACTTTGGTATTGTTTTCTTGAGCCCAGAATGATTTCTGAAATAAAACAATTGACTAACACTTGATCAATACAATACTATCAAGTTACAGCTAAAATTTGTTTTGTGGGTCAACCAATCAGAACCAAATGGAGATAAAGAATTATTTCTTCTAACAGGCATACCTTCCATGATTTTTATTGAGTTAGCTCTGCAGTTCGCAAAAACATAGGTCTTCTCAGGCCTTTGACCTTATGTCACAGCCAAGTTCACGTACCAGTTTACATGGGTTATGATGAGGATGGTGATTTTCATGGTGCTAGGGACTGATTGAACCTCATGCATGCTAGGCAAGCGCTCTACCGCTGAGCTACACTTCCAGCCTCACAAGCTAGATTTCAGTCAGGCTTGAAATGTACAAAGCTGTATTCTCTTATGTTTCTATGGCATTGAAGTTTTGTAAAACTTCCGAGTATTTTCTTTCTTCTTTCTACAAGTCTGCGTATTCTCTGAAATCAAAAGAAGTGCTATGCTCATCTTTGCATAGAAAAGAGAAAAAAGCATACATAAATCAAAATCCTGATAGGCCGTTTAAAATTCCATACCCAGAAATCTTCAGGATTTTCTTACATTTATGAGTAAAGTAGAAACTACCAATACATATAAGTATAATTCTGCTTTAAGGCTATTAATGGAACATAAAAATTAATCACAATTATCATCATATTTCTTTTATAGTACTACACATTTTTCCCATCGTCCCACAGATTTCCAAGTCTCCCATCCTCGCAGATGCCCAGCCACAGAGGGACTTGACACCTAAGCTTGAAGTCACTAACCTAAATGAGAAACGTCTGGTTGGCATTCAATATCCAGAAACCTGGCCTTTTGTGGAAAAACTGTACACATTTCCATCAGCAGCTCTCGAGCCCCCTGACCCAAAGGATACAATGAGGACAGGGTACAAGATGGTAAGTATTACCTACCGTTATGAGACATCCCCACTGCGAGGCACTTCTGAAATCGACAGTACTGACATTTATTTCTACTCTTTTTGTGGATCCGACAGTTAAGATCACACCTATCATAAATAAGCTTCAATCGGATGGTCCTCCGGAAGAAACCCTGCAAAGAGATATGAGACAAAGAAGCAACCTTTAAGTCCATGTGACACACGGAAGCAGCGACCTATGGCTACAGGCACACACCAGGGTAGCAGAAAAGGTAGGCTCTGCGCTGGTGACCTGGACAGGTCCCTCTCTGCGACTCAGTTTCTTTGCTCTAAGGCAGAGAGCCAGTGGCTCTTCAGTGTCCTCTCTGTGTGACCGCATTCCCCTCATGTCATTCTGTGTCCCCTGGCTCTCTGTGTGTTTCATCAGCCTGCGCTGCAGAGATCTCTGGACTTAACATAGCGTGTAATTAGTTCAGTCTCTCTGTAAACCATCCCAACAGCTTGCCCAGCCTTTAGAAATGTGCTAAGCAGTTTGGCAAACTTATAATCACTTCTTTCTAAAACACTATCGGGGCCAATAAAAGTCCACATGTGGATAATTTTTTGGAATTCTCTCGGTTGCATAATTTCCTGCAGAATTCATTTCATTTATTTATGTAGTTGACAGAGTGCCCATCCTTACAGTCTATAGACAAGAAGAGATAGCAGGAAATAACTTGAGCAGTAATGCAGAAATCCTCAGAGAACCCAGTACAAAATGGGAATATTTTGGGGGCTAACATTCGGCTATGTTTACTGTGTCTTTTTGAGAGAGCTGAAAACTTTTTTCAACTGGAAATGTCTTCTTACTCCACTTTTGGGGTTCATAGTGTTCCTACTCCTCTGTGCTGCGTGCAGGTCTTAACTCTGTCACGTGGATCTGGTCCTGCTTGGTACCAACAGCACTGACTTGGTTCCCATTGGCACGCACTTGGGCTTTCTGCAGAGCCCTCCCTTGAATAGGTTTGGGGACCTGGGACCAAAAGAGTTTTGGGTTCTTGTGGATTTTGGAGTATCTGCATATGTGCAATAGAGATAACTTGGGGAGGGGACCCAAGTCTACACGTGAAATTCACTGGCGTTTCACCACGTCTTACAGCTGGACAGTGATTTTGTTAAGTATTTTTAGTGTGTATGGTTTTGACTGTATGGCAAAGGTCCATCACAAGGTCAGCTGTTGAATTTTCCATGTCCATCATGTTGGTGCTCAAATATGATGGATTTCAGAGTATTGTAGATTTTGGATTGTGGGGATGTGTAACGTGTATACAGCTCCCTGCTTCCCTCACTATAAGTTGTAATGACGTCTCAGTTCTCCCAGAGCCTTACCCACCCTCCTTCATTCTGGGGCTGTCGCTGTCCCCACCTCTCTTCTGGACCTCTCGGTCTCCTTTACATCGCCCCAGTTTGTTCCGTTTCCAGTAGCACCGACAGCTCTCTCACCTACCACAGAAACAACCTATGATGTGTGTTTCTATTCTGCCCCTTTCTGACTTCTCAATTCCACCCTCAGCCCACCTCCCAGTCTCTTATGGCTTGGATTAAAATTGAATTCTAGTCCTGTTTCTGTATTTTACACATTGATCTGTTCTCTGTTAGAGGTCTTGCCTATATCTTCTCTCTTCTGTCTTCAAGGTGACTGTCCTTGGAATGCACTTTTTCGGCGTTCTTATTGTTTTTTAAGTTGTGAACATTTTCATTTCTTTTCCTTTCTTTTTTTGTGGTACCAGGGATCGAACTCGGGTCCTCACGCTTGCACAGCAGGCAGTGAAACCACTGAGCTAAATCCCCAGCCCGAACATTTTCATTTCTCACCTTCATTCTTGGATGATTATGGGATCCTCAGTCATTTTCTTGTTACACTTTGAATTCTTCTTTGTTTTTCTGTTCCCATTGCTACTGCTGAGAAGCCTCCTGTGAAGTGATTTTATTTGTTTGTTTGTTTGCTTGACACAGGGTCTCACTGTCTATTCCTGGCTGGCCTCAAACTCCCAGCAATCCTTCTGCCTCAGCCTCCCGAGTGCTGGGATAACAGGTGTGTGCCCACACCTGGTGCTGTCAATTAATTTTGAAGATGACCTTTCTTTTCTCATTGGTTGTCTTTACATCCTCTCTTTGTCTCCAGGGTCCTGCAGTTTTACTGTGGTCTGTTCAGGCATAGCTTTCTCTTCACTTATTTTCTTGGACAAGTTTTCTTACTTCATTAGTTCATCAGGTCCAGGACTCCAATGAGATAACTGTTAGAGCTTTCTCTAGTCTTTGTATTTCTGAACTTCTCTTTGTACTTTTCATATTCTTGTCATTAATTATTTACTGGCATTGTTTGCAAACGTAAAAAGCAGAATAGTAGTCAATGAAACCACACAAAAATATGTAATTAGACTAGCAAAGTTAAAAACAAACATTCCACCCCAAATTTCATCAGTGAGACCATTTCTCCACCTCCTTTTTCTATAGCTGAGTGAAGAAAACAGACCCTTTTAATATTCAAGGCCTCTGTGAGCCCTTCAGTAACTACAGAGGTTTGAATTCTAGCACATCCTGGAGCCGGGGATTTAGCTCAGTGGTTCCACTGCCTGTCTCCAAAGCATAAGGACCTGAGTTCGATCCCCGGTACTAAAACAAAACAAAACAAAAAACCGCCTCACATCCTGGGAAGGGCACATCTTTCAGGACAGTGTTAGTTTCACAGCTAGCAACTTCTTTGTGTTTCCTTTCCAGTTCCATTATCTTTCCTTCTGTTCTGTCTTCTATGCGATTTGACCCTGCTTTCCATTGAATTCTTCTTGCAATCAATGTCCATTTCTCTTTGAGAAGTATCACTTGACTTGGTTTCAAGACTGCCTGCTCAGTCCCGATGTTTGTTGCTTCCCTCACACTCTGTCTTTACACAACCGGTGCATAGCTGTTCTGTATTCTGGACCTGGAAGATTTTTCCAGTATTTGCCTTCCTTGGGTGGGGGTGGGGGAGTTTATATCAAAGGTTGTTTGTTGGTTATGAAGATCATTCAAGGTGATGCCCTTTTTATGTACTTGCTGTTATTTTATTTTGCAATCATTTTTTGACCTTAAACTTGGAAATCCTATGGGGTTTAAAATGGAAATTATTTTCTCTAAGGAAAACTTGCAGATGCTTCTGCCAGAAGCCAGGTGCCACTGACTGGAGACATTCGGAGAATGTCTACATGCAGAACATCAGGCTCAGTTCTGAAGGCCCAGGCATAGCACCTTCTCCAGAGGGCTCAGAACTCCTCGAAGCTCCTGCTGATGTGGGGAAAACCCTGCCCTCCAGCCCAGCCTGCTGCTCCTGCCTCAGACCAGGGCCCTGGCTTCTACATTGGCCTTGCTTTCTTGTTGTTAGGGAGATCATCAATATCTCCAAGAACCTGTCCCAGCTAGGATCTGCTGGAAGTTGAAGCCTCTTTGATTTTCCAAGTGTTCTGAGGACCTTTGGACATGAAAAAAGTTATGTTTTAGTGCCCCCCCCCCCGCCCCTGCCAACTGGTCAGTAGAAAGGCCAATGCATAGAACTGTTCTCACTGAAAAAGGCTGGCGAGATTTTTCTTTTGGGGAGGGGTACTGGGGATCAAACTCAAGACCTTGCACTTGTGAGGCAGTCAGTGGAACCACTGAGCTAAATCCCCAGCCCGCTGAGATTTTTCTTTTTGCCACTGTGAACATAGAGTTTATGATGGTCTGTGTCTCATTTACTCTTTTTAAAACTAGTACCACTCCACACAAGGAAAGTAAACATTATGTTCCAAAAACATGTACTGATAAAATAAAAGAAAATAATAAAATAACAGCCAAACTCATACAAACAAGGTAGAACGGTGGCTGTAAAGTTTCAGTTCCACAAACTGAATAAATCCTAGAGATCTGTAAAACACTGTGACTACAGCCAACAATATTATATTGCACATTTAAAAACTTGTTAAGAGGGTACATTTTATATGGCCTGTTCTGGTCAGAATTTAAAATGAAAGAAAATAAAAGTCTAGACCCAGGGCTGATAAACAGTGAGTAGCCCTTAGTCAAATCCACCCTGCTTCCTGCTTTTGTAAATAAAGCTTTATTCAAACACAGCCACGAAACAAACCAAACAAACAAAAAGTAAGAATGGGTGGTTTTAATGCAGCTCGATGCAAAGGCCTGGGTCAGGGTACTCAGTTTTGTGGCCTGGTCACTGAGTTTTTGTAAGAGAATGATGTTACAGAAGATTAACCCTCATAATGCAAATTTTGAGCCTGACTCATAGGATGCCTTTCAACAGTGAATCATATTCCCTTTATTACGATCAGGGCCTCTCAGTGCGAAGCGTAATCACCCTGAAATCACTTCTGCACTGTGATGAACACAAATTCCTGAACTGAATTGTACAGACTCCACTGCGTGCACCTTGAAACTCGCTTTTGCTGTTTTCCTTCTCACCAAGTCCATCATAACCCCTTGCTTTCTTGTCGCTTGGCTTTTTCAAGAAGTGAGAAGATGTAAGGATTTTACTGCATGTTTTGCTGGAGTCTCCAAAGTCTCTCCATGTGACTGATAAAGAAACTCTAAAACAGTACTCTTCGTTACTGTAGACTCCATAAACCTCAGTTTTCATTCTTACTTGTCTTTCTCCTTTTATTCTTTCTTTTTTATTATTATTGTTTCAGTACTAGGAACTGCACCTAGAGCCTTTACACTGAGGTACATCCCCAGCCCTTATTTGGAGACAAGGGTCTCGGTAAGTTGCTAAATTGCCCAGGTTGGACTTGAACTTGCAGTCCTCCTGTCTCAACCTCCCAGAGTGCCCCAGTGATTACAGCTGTGGAACAACATGCCTGACCAGATTATCTATCCTTTCTTCCTTTTCTCTTCCAAAAGGACTAATCTAAGGAAGGGAAGTGGGTGAAGCAACCCTGCTTTATCAGTTTTTCAAATATCACCTCACTAGAAGAATGAGTTCTTCCCCCCAAAAAAGAAGTATAACAATTTTGTTCTAACCCTTGGGTCAAGTCTGCTGCAGGAAATGCAGCAGCTAAGTTTTCAGCAAACTCTGCTGATGGTTTTGTACCTTACACCCTTCGCAGGCATGGACTCCGTAGTGGAAGCCAGAGGCCTTGTCTCCACACACTCGGCACTCGATGGCCATGAGGGAGTTGGAGGGCTCCTCGGGGAGCCTGTTGTACAGCTGGGACTTCTCGGAATAGTACGGGGGCGACGAGGGCTCCACCTTGATGGTACCTGTGCATGACACATGGACAAGGTCGTTAGTACCAGAGAAACATGCTTTGGAGGCCGGGCCAGCGGCTGCCGCACTTTGGCGACCTCAGGGTGGGGACAGTGCTCCGAGGGTGGAGAGGTCAGGCTCTGTCACAGCCCCTCCGAGCCTCACTGAGGTGCGAAATGGGGACAGGAATTCAGTGCTCGCTTCGGGAGACCCAGAGTCCATGAGACACTCAGGCTCCAACAGACTGCGTGGCCCCAGTGACGCATGCGGCTTGGTGGCCAGGATGAGCTGTGTCTAGCACTTCACACACCAATCAAGCCATGGCTTTTATTTAGATGCTGCACTTCAGAATGACTTTTCCCACTTTATACCCTCTGTCCACCAGGACATCCTGCCATGAGTCAAAGACTTTAATACACAAAACGGAACCAGGAAAATATGAGCAGGGGACGGGAAACAGTTCCTTGCCAGTCTCGAAGTTAGACCACTTTTGCAAAAGACAGAAGGAGCAGTGCTGAGCGAAGGTCGAGGGGTGCCCAGCTCGCAGGGCCCAGAGCAGGCGAGCCCAGGTGGGCGGCCGTGGGGCTGGAGCACACGCTGTGGTTTGGCCCCCATTTTCAATGACAGAGATGTTTTCCACTGCTTGGGAGCAGGCCTGTTAGAGTTCCATATTAGGCTCGAACAGAAAGCCACACTGATAAATAAAACCAACTGTACCATTTATCTAAGAAAAAAACTAGAAATACAGGAAGTTCTTACTTAATGTCAAATAATGGTTGCCAATGACACGGCGGTGGCTTTGGGAAACCAGCACATCAGCTCATGGCAAGATAAAAATCAAGGAAACAGCACCACAAAGTTACATTTTTATCTTGAAAAATACAGTTGTGGTTTTTCTTGTGTCTGATGTTTTGATGTTAATTTCCTTAATGGCATGAAGATTTATCCGTAGGCTATCATGTTAAAAATGTAAATTTGTCCACCTCCAAAATGGATATCAGTGTAAATTTCAAACGCTAAAGATTAGGGGAAAAAAATGATGATGGTAAAAAAAAATGATGAAATTAAAAAAAAAGATTAGAAAATAAAAGGCTGCAGTAGTAGTAACTTAGTAATGGTAAGTTATATAAGGTAACTTGGAAATACTACTTATTAACTTACAAGAACCAGAAGAACTCAAATTTGGAAGATGGACTCTTAGCTTGAGATACAACTGGCAGTGAAACATGCTAGAAAATACTCTCTACCCAGCATGGTGGCACACACCTGTAATCCTAGCACTCAGGAGGCGGAGACAGGAGGATCGCCACGAGTTTCAGGCCAGCCTAGGCTATGTAGTGAGTTCAAGGGCAGCCTGAACTACATAATGAGACCCTGTTTCAAAAAAAAAAACAAAACAAAATGCAAGAAAGGAGAGAGAGGCAGGAAGAGGAAAGGAGGAGAGGCAATTACACACCACCTTCCTTTCTGCATATCACAAATAGCTAATATTTCATGAATAGGTGGTGAATCACACATGGTAACTGCCTGCTCTCTACAGCATTTATTCTGGAGCACTTATTCCAATGTCTCACAGCGATCTACCCCGTCCAGTCTCAGTGGTCTGAAAAGTGAGCAGAAACCTCATACTTTGGTACTCCTGGAACTTCAGGTCATATTTATAATCGGCGACCATTGGGTCCATCCTTGGGAATGGGATGTCTTCATAGTGTGGTGCCGAGATGCTGGAGAAGTCGACTGTGGTGAAGGGCTTGATGTCAAAGGCGTGCGAGTGGTCGTCCATCGCGGAGAGGTCCATGGAGCTGATCCCGAAGTTGGTGGGCCAGAATGGCATCTCGGTGTCGACCATGATGACTCCTGAAACGGAAGCGAGAGGCTTAGGAAGCTGGGTCTTACAGACACTCGGAGAGGGAGTGCAGTGTGACCAAGCAGGCTCATCTGGGTCATCACTGCGGGGTGAGGACACGGCTAGCTTCTCAGTGCCGTGCAGGTGGCGGCAGGCAAGAAAGAAGTCACCCCTACCAGGGCATCCAGAGCAAACCTCGGCACAGCCGAGATGTCCACAGACACCCCACAAATGCCCACCTGTGTTTAGAATGCTTTGGTATAGTATCATAGTTGGTAAATTAAATTTAGACAAAAGAGCCTATTCTTTAATTGCATTCTAATAGTTTGCTTTAGAGGTAATATTAAAATTCAAATGAATCTTTGAAAAAAGGGAAGGACACTTCTGTACTATGAACAAATACTTCGAGTGTTTATCTTTTCTGTGTATACAACTTTTCTTCAGCAAAAGACATCTTGTTCACGTGGGGAGCAGTCAGGTGAGGGCCAGCCACGCTGACCACATGACTGTTACTGGGAAGAATGTCAACACTGGGCCCCGGCCAGCACTACTCTGAAAGCCATTCCCAAGACAAAACCCAAACAAAAGCCAACAGAGCTGGAAACAGGAATCAATATAAAGTCAGAGGGGGAAACACTCGCATGGTGCTAAGGCTGCAGAATAACTAGGCTCAGCACGGCCCGCCTGGGATGCCACAAGCCGCATGTATTTTTCTAAATGCCGCAAGTCATTTAAATGTTAACTCTTTGGTCAAAAATACCACTGCAGAGCTGAGTACATTCAGGATTGCTAACCCTGGGGACAAAGAAATTCTGGGGCTCTGGAAATTAGAGGTGTCTGTCTTGTTTGCAGCCACACCTGCACCACCTAACAAAAAGCTTGACCCTAGCAGGTGCTCCCTGGACATTCAATAGATGCTAAATGAATCCATGACTGGGTGAGGGCCTTGAAAAGTAAGCAGAAAGGACAAGGATGCAAACCGATGTGCTGAGCACCTGCCTTTCACTCCACATAATCTGAGGTCATATCCCTGCTGTGTAGACACATAAGCCAGGGCTAGAGAAGTCATGGGCTCAGAGGAGGGGCTCCCAACCCCAGTGAACTGGAAGCCCTCTTCTGCAGCTCTTCTCTCCTCTCCAATTGGTGGAGAAAGGGCTCTGCTGGGGGGCGCAGGGGGTCTGGGAAGGGCCTCTCGTTCCTTCCCAGAGAGCAGGGAGCTGAGGAAATCTCAGTTGTGGTCTTCATAAGAACAACAAAGTGCCTTGAAAACCCCACCAGGGAGACTGGTTCTGTGAGTTGTGCTCAGGCTGCGAGGGGCTCTTTCTGACCGTGTAGATTCCTGCGTCTGGCTATCTACACAGCAAGTACCCAAACAGTGCTCAGTTATCTGGGTTACAGTGTAAACACTACACGCCACAAAGAGGAATGTGCACTGCGATAGTGTAAAGGTCACTCAGGGTCTCAATGACATCCAGCAAAGGCATGTGCCCCTAATGACATGGGTGCCCACCCAATTGCAGCCTTTGTTTCCAAACCCATCCCAAACAGCCCAGCCCGGGCTGCTGCGAGTCTGCTGCCCAGCTCCTCCTTTCACTTCTCTGTCAGTTTTTCTTAGCATCAGTTGCTTTCATATCAGAGGCTCCCTGGCAGGGCTACACTGTAGGACCCTCAAGGGGGTCCATCAGCTGTTTTTCACAGTGCCTGCTAGAATGTTCTGCATGCCGAATAGAGGTCGACACAGTTACAGGTAGTATGTGCCTCAGTATGAATACAGATTGCAGGAAAAACTGGTCATTGCTCATTTTACTGATTTACTTTTGTTTCATGTTTAATATACAATTTCAGTGACTTGCTGTCAAGCTAAGTCATGCTTCCTTTTGTTTGGGAGGGGGTTGAGACAGGGTCTCACTGTGTAGCCCAGGGTGGCCTTGAACTCACTCACAGTGATCCTCCTGCTTCAGCCTCCCAAGTGCTAGGATACAGATGTGCATCACTACATCTGGCAAAGCCTCCGATTTAAAGCTCTCCATTTTGTCTTCCCACGGCTGTGTGACCCTCTCTCACATCACTGATTTGGATAAATGTCTCTGCCATTCGATTTCTAGAGGGGAACAAAGTTACAAACAGAAGTATTCTTTATTCGGTTTCCCTTTAGGTCCTTATTCAGGTAGTTGTACAATAAATATTTGCAGATTGAATGATCAGAAAAATAGAATGAATTCTCATTTTGCCACGAAAGACGGAACCAAGAAAGACACTTTCTCAGTGATTTAATTTTGCTAAGACTTAAGTCCCCCCAAGATGCTGACCCCCAATATTATAAATAGAATAGAAGCCACAGCCTTTCCTTTCAACAGTGTACACGCGGCTGTTTCTTTCTGGTTGATACAGGAGGAAGATTGGGGTCCTATACAGTTTTCTTTGGGACTGGGGCATGCCAGGCAGGCATTCACTACTGAGTGCCACCCCACTTTCTTATTTTTCTAAGTAGAAAAGATGGAAGGAAAACAGCTTCACCTCATCCTTTTGAAAACCCATGATCAAGCCCAAGTTTCCCTTCCTCTCCCCATTCCTGCTCCTTTACTCTGGGGCACCGTGACCAGAACATTCACCCTTGGTGGACCACAGTTACTAGGACACACAGAGTTCCATATACACATTTAAACACACACACACGTATGCATATATATATATATATATATATATATATATATATTTTTTTTTTTTTTTTTTTTTTTTTTTTGGTCGAGGAGTGACTTAGAGATGGGTCCAGGAAACCTGCATCTCATTTTGTCTCTAGAAAATACAAGCTTCTGTGGCTGCCAAGCTGTAAGCCGAGGAGGTGTTTTGTGTTACTCAGTGCAATTAAGCATGAAGGAACAAATGGACAGAACACCTGCAGGAACAACTGCCCATCTCAGGATTCCGCAGCTGGGTGACAGGAGTCATGCTGCCCCTGGGGCTCATCCACAACATCCCCAGCCTCCAGTGTGTCCAGAGGAGGCTGAAGTCCTGCCCCAGACCCGTGTGCAGTGACAGGAAGTTAGGCCATTTCCCTGGACCTTCAAACTTGGCTTTAAGCTTTTTGATGGCCAATGAGCAGACTTTTGTAACAGTCCACAGTATCATGTATTTTAAACAAAAATATAACCGATTTCACACAAGAATCAACTAACTTCTCTAATCTGATAGGCAGCATTTATTTGGGAGGATGGAAGTGGGTCAGGAAAATGTGAAATTATAAAATCAAGCACCAGAACGAAATGGTTTGCCTCTGGGGCTTTATGCTGTCCCTGATGAAAAAGAAAATCGTCAGGGCAGCTGGGGGACAGGGCAGGGAGAGCGGCTGTGTGGTGAGTACTTGCCTGGCACGCATGAGGGCCTGGGTTCCACTCCCAGAACCACAATTAAAAAAGGAATCAAAGGCACAGACACAGAAGCACCCTGAACCCCAGAGAGCTGGGTGTGAGTCTGGGTGGCCCAAAGGTCTGGGCCACATTTAACCTTCTGCACCAATTGGTCATCCGGGTCTTCTGGCTCTGTGTTAAACAGCACTTAATGCCAACAGTGCTCATGCAATGCCTGAGCTGGCAGAAGCCTGGCCTGGCAGAGGGTCTGGCACAGTACCTGCAGAGGCCTCTGGGGAGATGTCTGGGGTATGTGGCTGGAAAAGCCTTTTTCTAGAACTTACTAGAAAGGACCCTGGAGAGACACTTCACCACTAGACATGGTGGCAGATGCCTGTGACCCCAGCACTCAGGAGGCTGAGGCAAGAGGATCTCTGAGTTCGAGGCCAGCCTGGGCTACATAGTGAGGACCTCCTTCCCATGAGCTTCTAATAAATAATAGTAGCAGCCATGACATTTGCACATATTAGTAACGGGAGTACTCTAGCCATATACGAGGTGGGCTAAAGGCCTCCAACCCCACCACAGGGGGCAGGCAGAGGAAGAAACACCCCCGAAGCTCTATTGTTCAAAAAGGACTATGCCTGACACAGATGTCCTGTCTCAGAGAGCCCTGGAGAGGGGAGACCCAGCACCCTGGCCCTCAGGCTCCTGCTCCAGGCCCTCACTGTCCTGCCCCGCATCTCCCCATAGGGCTGCACATACGTTCCCTTAAAGAGAACACACAAGCGCTGGGGATTTAGCTCAGTGGTGCCACCTGCCTTGCAAGCGCAAGGTCTTGAGTTCGATATCTGGTACCAAACAAAAGAGAACACATATGACCTTTCCATCAGTAAGAGCAGAAGTGAGTTCAGGAAATTCGAGGAGAAGCAAGCCTCGGACTCAAGTGCTTGTGATTCCTGAGACTCGAACAGAGGCAAAGCAGTGTCTGAGGCGTTCGGTACTGGATGGAATGCGGTTTGTGAAATGATGGTTGATGGTTGAACCCGTGTCAGAGTTTGCATTGGTCTCTTTCTTCCTTTTTTCTAAACACACAGTCATCACCTTCTGCACATTACCCTTTCCCACCAGTACCTGAAAACTGTTCAGTTGGCCCTGGGCTTCACTAGGATTCACACTGCTTTAAACAACAAAAGACAGCAGAGAAAGGATTTCTTAACGCTTCAACCACACAGAAAAGAAGGGCTGTAGAGCCAGGGATTTAGCTCAGTGGCACCACGCCTGCCTTGCAAGTGCAAGGTCCTGAGTTCGATCCCTGGTACCCGTCCCCCCCCCAAAAGAAAGGAAGGCCTGCATACTAATGCCCTTTCCAGAGAAACTGTCCTAAAAACTTCCAGTGAGAAAAAAAAAAAGCCAGATAAAAGCTCAAGAATCACAACATCAGAGGCTAGAAAATCAATAGAACAGTGTCTTCAAAGGCAGGAAAAAATGTCGCTAACTTGGAATTTTATATGCAGCCAAGCCATCAATCACGCATGAGAGTAGAATAAAGACATTTTCAGAAATATAAGGTCTCCCAAAGGTGACCTCCCGTGTACTCTCTCCCAAAGTTCTTCACCAGAACAAAGAAAGCCAGGACACCCTGGATCAAACTACAGAGACAG